GCGCAATACGGTTAGTGATTACGCACGCAATGGCAGTCGCTGATAGGCTAAGATAAATTATAAATTAGGATCTAGTATAATGAGCCTAGTATATAAAATGAATGGCTTAGAAGTAGCAAGCAGTTTGCGAACTAAAGACCTAAAATATATTCAATTCACATTTTGCGCTCTACTGCGCACAACTTAACAGATAGGCCCAACTTTTCTTGCTGCAAACTTCGCTCTTTTGTTTTCCATATCTTTGGCAGCATGCTTGAGCGAGATTCTTTGAAAATCTAGCATAACTAGATCTCCTGCTTTGAATAGACTGTTTGTGGAAGCCATATTGTACGAGGTCAAACCTCGCATTCAGAATGACAAGAAATTTTCGTGTCTATCGCTTCAATTACGCATATGGTATTTGTCTCTCATAGTCCAAAAAAGACATAACGCCCCTAAGGATTTGCTACTGCTTTGACCTTGGCAGATTTGCACGATGTTTCTTTCAGATCCTTGTGGGACAGAATATCCATATACGGTAGACTCCCAACGAGGCGGCTTGTGTTTGTTTTGTAGCGCGTCAGAATTCGCAGTAGTGAGTTTTGTTCAGTCGCATCGAGAAGCGAATTAGTGTGGGAAGTTAACCTGGGCAAAGTGTTTGGTGTACGTGGTGAATTTTGATATCAAAATGGAGAATATGTATCGGTTCTAAGTCCACAAACTCATACATTGAGAGTGTAGTAAAGCGAAGTAGCTCGTGCCTCTGGAAAAATTGCCGACTGTAGTAAAGCTCAAACAGGGGTTTGGTGGTTTTCCCAGATAAAATCGCGTTAGTTTTAGTTAAAATAGTATACAGCGTAGCGCAGTTGCTGTCAATTGTAAGACAATGACACTCATAAACCCCTTCTAGATAGTTCTGTAGTCCTCTCTATCGAATGCAGATATCGGGAGAGAAAAGCAAAATGCTATAGAAAAGTACAGTAGTTGTCTGTCGAGTCTAGGCAAAAAACAGTGAGGCTAAGATCAAAGTAGCAATCACCGCGAAGTCAGAGCTATGGAGAAGCGAGGTCTTAAAGTATTGTGTTGTGTGGGCACGTCAGACATATTTATGGCGGGCCGATAACAGTATGATCTGGCGTTGTGAGAACACTTTCGCGCCTCATTCTGATTGAGGTATTTGGTATATCGGCTCGCTTAAGTTCTAAAATGACTAATGTCAGTCTATATATCACTCTGCGCTCCTTAGTGTGTATTCAAAACTCGGCAGTCTCTTGGATGGTCAATCCGTATTCTAAAAAAAATATGTACCACAATCTATTGAGTGCCCAACATTATATTTATACTTCAGCGTCATTTTTTCACTTTCATTTTAATATTTACATTGAACTCTAACTCACTATCATTCTTCAACAGTATTTTTTCTTACAATTTAAAAAAATAGCACTAACACAGATTAAATTAGTATTCGTTCAAATTTACGAACATGACGGTCGTGTTCACTCAAGGATGGCAGCGCACAGGAAGGCAATTTCATCACACGACATGTAACTCTGATGACAACTTGAAGGTAAAGGCATGTCAAAGTATTTGCTAGCAGAAGCCGAGCCAACATGAGTCAATTCCACCCATATTTTCTTCGAATCAGATGAAATATTGACATCACTCGAATTACAAGAAGAGTAAGCGATATATGACGACATTGAGGAGGTGGACCCAGTTGGTGACTCGGCAGGATTTGCTGATGCTAGCATTGATACAGAAGTTGGAGAGGCGGGGTTGTGTCGGTCACGAACAAATTTGGCGCGTGCGGCTCTGCGTTTTTGGCGGTCAAATCTACGCTGAATCATGTTGGCCTTGTTTCGATGAAATAGGCACAGCTGATGCAGCTGACCATTGCGCTTACTGGATCGCATGTGATTGCATTTGCCAGTCTTGTATCTGCACTTGTTGATGCTTGTGTTGGGAAGACCCGTGTTGACCTTACGCGTTGAGAGTGAGACGGAGGCCATTGTTGTTTAGTCGAAGGATCCGAAGTCAGGTTGTTCTTGAGGCGTTAGATTTCAAAATAGCTGAAGATTGGATGCTCAATGGGATCTGCCCTAGTGACAATCACGGCAGACAGGGAATCGTAAGACTCTGGCATTGCGATTACGGTTTCCATGTCATAGACAGCAATCACAATTCCATTGAGTTATTTACATCTACAGCTTCTTGCAAAATGACGCAGCTGCTAGACCCGTCTGTCACACGCATTTCAGGCAGGCAGGCTATAACGCATCGACTGAATCTATAAAGCAGATATTAGGGCAACTAGTAATCGGATAAATTATTGAATATGATTGTTAGCTCACTAGAGAAGATGTGAAGACTACATTTCGTGCAATACCATATATGACTGGTGCTCTTCTTCTTGTGCCCCCTAGATATTATCCAACTCTGTCGAAATCTGCCACTTTGCTCAAAATGGACGGGGTATCTAATCATCAAGCTCATTTATAGATACTTTTTTATTATAAAATTTGTAGCCGAGATTGCAAGGTATGAAACAACGGCATCAAAACTCGTACTGCAGTCATGAATCAAAGACTGCTCAGAGATAAAGTCACGATGTCTTCAAAGCACAACTCTCTCGTCAGCTGCGAAGGCTCTAGACTGAAAAAGTTTGTCTGGATGCTACTACAGTGGAATGAACCGCATCGATCGCTAGGTCATTCCAGATCTTTACCACTGTAAGAAAGTAGCTCTCAATTACTAAGCTCGTGAGACGGAGACTTTAAATGTATTGCGTCCGTCACCCACAATTAAAAGGAATTCTTGCTTAAACAAGGATGTGTAAAGTATTTCCATCACAGAAAGAAAGAAAAGACAGCAAATCAGGCAGATATAGGGGTTCGAAGAGAACGAAATGTACGGCTCCGTAAAATACGGTTGTGCCAAGGATACGGCATAGAATGGTCTAAAAGAACTGATAGGTATTCGACGCAACATGAATTCTGACTTGGTGAGTGGCCAATGCCATTCTCGGTGAGCCGAACCGGGCAGCTGTGACGCCCATCCAATCGCTGGTCTTTCACACACAACCAGCCAGATTGAGTGGTATTCTACACAGAAGCTGCACGTTCAAAGTACGCGTAGGTTCCTGTGGACTGAAATATAGAAGAAAAGAGTTCTGACGCACGAAACATTAGCTGCAGGTCAGATGATCGACAGAAGCGCTGCCAGCCAACGAAAGCTAACGCAACAGTATTGCGGACCTGATAGAAAGCGCATCATTTCCACGGAATGGGAGCTCGGCAGCATTCTATGCCGGATTGCGTCTAGTGCCTTCTCTGTTATGTCGGCAATGGCCAGCTATTCACCTTGCGCTACTAAAATTCACCTCTTTTGTAAGGATTACGTCCTTTGCATGTGCTCATAGTATGCTTTACTCATCGTTGTTATTATAACATTGAATCAAACCTTTTCCGTATACTTTTCACTGCAAAATGCAGCTGACTGGCTACGCGACTTTCAATTTTTAGATGTACTGTGGATCGCAATGTGAATTATTTTTTGACATTAAAAAAAGCAAAGATAAGTTTTGAATCGCCTTCGTCTCTTGACGGCTGTCGTGGTTTTTTGTCCCTAATTGACATTGGGCTGATAGTACAAAGTTAAACGCTCGTAAGCTTGTATGATCCGAGTTAGCAAAATGTGGGTGAACATTAAGTGCAGATGAATAGGAAGTTGAAATGACTGTATCAAGAGAAATGCCGTGCCAGTTGAGCTCCTGAGCATTACTGTAGCCATGAATCGAATCTCCAAATGCTTTTAAGCATAATAACAAGACCCGCATTTTACAATGTGCAAATCGGATAACGTACTCGAATGGCGTAATTGTAACGTGGACAAACCCATAGATATAGAGACAGCTTTATCTTTCGTGCACTCATAAACTGATACCTTGAATCGAACCGCATGTACACTCATTTCTGTCCCTTCTGCATTTTATATACGTAGTACGATAAAAGTCTGTGCAAGGGCAAAAGATGGTATTCTCCAGCGAAATTGCATAGATAAAGAGATGCGGAAGATCCTGTAATAGTTTATGCTCTGCGCATCAACGCGAAACATTTGATTGAGAACTAAAGGCAATTATCGCGAACGCTTTAATTCACCGAGTCGCGTATGAAAGGAATAGAGCTTGAAGGTTGCTCAACGGCTTTAATGAATTTAAAAAAATACACAATGGTAAAATGCTTGCATGATCGTGAGACGCGATTTAAGTGACATCTTGCTCAAACTTAGAAGAGTGCGACGAATTTCAGCTAACCAAACGAATATAATATGTTAGATTTAATTGTTGTAGACTGTAAAAGAGTGTGTTGACTTGTATATAAGAAGCCCCTTTCACAGGTAATAATTACATGAAACGAGAGGCAGTTTTTGTCGTCCCTGCCATAGTCAACGCTTGAGGGCATGAAACATAAAACTTTGTCAACAGTACTCTCTTTCTCGAACCGCGTAATCAGGCAGTTTTTTTGCATATACGTCGTGAAGCTGTTGTGGTGCCAGATCTAAAGTATGAGTCATTGCAATTGCATAATCAATGCATTTATTCAGCAGATGAACTGCTAACAATCAAAAGCGAATACTTGATAACGGGACACAGATTGCATATTAGCAAAAGCACGATATGACTTGGAAAGGATAATTGTTTGCTTATCGGAAGCGTACGTAGTACTGGATGCTACTTATCTAAAGAAAATGCAAAACATGTCGGCCAACTTTTTAAGCAATCTAGGCGTACGTAAATCTCTTTCAACTTTGCTGCCAAGAGCGCTACATGTTCAAGTCATATACAATTTCCATGATTATTGTTTGCTTGTATACATTGCTGCTCGACTTCATGTGGTAGTATATCTACTAAACGCAAGTTAGCTACGGAAAGTTCGCACCATGATCATTCTGGCTAGAAAGCACGTTCCTTCAATCAGTCGAGCTAGCACATGCTGACCCATCTGAAATTGTCATGAAGGATATAGAACTTGGTCTATGCGATGTAAAAAGGAATACGCTCATGATTGGCGATAAGTGTGGGTTTCATCGCGACGTCTTCAATCACAGAGAATATCTCAACGAAAACCTCAACTTATTGTATCGTACCACACAAGCCTGTCACATTGTTGTGGTATTGCTTGTTGCGGTTATTGCCGCTAAAAAATCTTTGCAAGTATAGTAGAAAAGGTCATCTACACAATCAAAAAGTCTGAGACGAGGAAAAGGCGGACATTTTTCTTGGTAAACTATGATTATTCGTTTGTCGGAAGTTAAGTTATATTTTCAGGGTCAGTTCTCTTGACTCGGCAAAGTGCACGCCTAAATCAGCTATCCTTACAATAAAGGAGCATTTTTTTCATAATGATTTCCCGTATGTAAGGAGCACACCATACTTTGAAACTGGCGCAACCAATTCATCTGGAACATTCCTAGGTTTCACTGCTGAGACGAAATGAAAGCCTTGCCTTTACACATAAATCTCTAGCAGTTCTATACGCAGAAATTTTTCAGTATCATGTATCAGTGCAATTAACGTGTTCTCTCAGACGATGTAGCCAAAAATACAGTCGTATTGTCAATGGATGTAAGGTATTCACCATGTTTTGTAATGCTGCTTTGTATGTCATCTGACTAAAAAGCGATGAATGGTGACTGTTGTGCATGAATTTTGATTTCCGTCTTATCAACTGTGTTGGATCGTTCCATTTGTAATTATTAAGATTAGATTACAAAGCTAACAACTCTTAGAGATCGATCAAGTTCTGTGTATACTTTCGCAAGAACATCATACAAATATGTCCAATTCAAGATATAAGGTTAGTGTTATCTTAAGACCATTCAGTGGATCCAGAACTTACGAGACCTGAATGTTGTTCCAGATTTACTCTTGTCAATCATCCGTAATGCCTTTGAACAAAACAATTTCTGGTCATGTCGTTAAATTTCACGATGAAAGATTGTTTTCTAGTAGTCCATTGCAGCGCTAACGCTGGCAAATCTACAAATTAAAATTGCTACCCCTTAACTCACTAAATTTAGATTATCGCGAATGATTTTCAGTGCGAAGATGAACCGTGTCACAAAGCCATGACCTGGTAAAACAGTGAGTGGCTTTCAGATAAAAAGAGTACTTCAAGGCCAAACTACGCATTTCATGTACCGATCGATCCGTCTTGTCGCCCTAATGTTCGTGCTGATCGTGTACCGAGCTGTCTCCGCCGCGTTATTAGAAAATTGAAAAGAATTCTGTTGTACCACCGCATCTTTTTTATAAAGCCGCTTCCTATGCTATCAGCGACACCTGGACTCATAAGTCAGGTCAACTCCAGAGGTGTTTGATACTTGACGAAACATCTAAATCTCTGAGCCGCTCGATGGACGAACAAACTGCTTGTGGCCGAGGGCGAAGGAAGAGAGCACGCAGGCATATACGCTAAGTACTACCACAAATGGCTGAAGTGTGAAAAGCTTACTTTGACTGACTCATAGGTTCACATAAAGATGCACTAATTAGTCGCGTAACTGCTTTGCTTTGTCCAGATCTAGCTAACGTCACAGATCTGCTTAAACTCAAGATTGGCGCAATATAGCTGGACCTCACCGAACAGATGAATTGACGTGAGCACCTGAAGAACTTTCCACAGCATTGGTCATCCTTAGCACCTTCTTGAAAACTCTTTCTTGTAGGAAAAAATACCATCAGTTCTTAGCCCTGTCTGAAATCATTGATCGTGCAGCACTTTTCGAAATGATAATAGTATCCGGGTTCAAAAGATTAATAGCCAAAACCCTCAATCCAAAATCTGAAACGATGTGGCTGGCAACCTCCTCTTCAACTAAGCAAGTGATTACACACTACCGCCTATGCAACTTAGAAAGTACAAGTTATTCTTTAATGCCGAAACGTTGAGTATTTTGCAGCAACCAACTTAGGTTATTACTTTATTTTTCTGTTATCGTCTCACGGATG